ATGCAGAGACCCGTCCCGGCAGCAGTTATCCAACGGCGTACCAGGCAGAGCCTCGTCTCGACGATGCCGGCGCAGTGTTTCATCCGACCATCCATCCAGCGGAGTCCGCGGTACGCTGTGCACTCGGCACAAGTGCACAGCGTCCTCACCTGGTTTAGCCCACCGGTCGAGACGGTTGCCCGGGGTGTGGTCGCTGAGCAGAGCCCAGCTACGTGGAGCCACAGGTGAGAGTTGGAGGCCAGCAAATGGACGCTAGGCGTAGTCTCACCTGCAAGCAGGTGAGCGACCACTACGACCATTACGTGAACCCACCGCTGGACACCCCTACACCCCAATCAGCGAGAGGAAGTTGCATTGATTGGGTCAGAGCCCAAAAAAACACACACACAAAACTGGACAGACTGCTGATGCAGATGCGATCGATGCATGCCGCGTCATTTGTCGACCGTGATCCATTTTACCTCAGCAGACGCGTAGGCGCCACCACCAACTCAATGTGCGCCCCCGATACTACCTTTCAGATCTACTGATATAGAAGGCCACACGTGTCCCTTCATTTTGCCAGGCCGGTCACTCCTAAATGTTGAGTAACCAATGAGACGTCCACTGGCATCCACCGCCAATGAAGCACACACTATCTCCTCACATGCTTCAGAGTGTCACGGAACGCTTGAGTTGGCGCCGTGACAGCCTGACTCTCAGTCCACCAGTCAACCACACCGCAGCACACACACACACACACACACGACTGGACAGACTGCCGATGCTGATGATTGAGGATGAGATGGAGTCGTGCAGCTGGCAGTTGTCTGCCACGGGTTTTCGTGACGCGATTGTGGCCGAATAGACAAATGCGGTGGATAAATGTGTGAGTGGAATGTGGGCAGCGGTGGAAGTTGCGACGGGTGTAGGTCGGTGCTCCAGACACTGGTTCGCCAGCCTCTGTGCGATGGATTCGCAAATGACCAACCAGACCGATATGTGAGGCGAATGGAGAATCGCAAGTAGGCGGGGTATAGACCGCGTCCTTATAATCGGTGTTTGCGGTGGAGGTGGTGTACGTGTTTGTTATTGTGTCACGATTGTTTGTAGTGTTAATGGACATGTCAGAAGCCACATCAGCAGATGTTGAGGAGGAGGAGGAGGAGGAGGAGGAGGAGGAGTTGGGTTCCGCTCACGTTGTTTTTGCCTTCCGACGAAGACAATGTGTAGTATGCGCCAAGGCCACGACCGAGTGTGCATCCAAGGGGCGTTGACGATTGGGACCCAGAATTCATCTCCAGGCAGCATGGTCTGCGCCGACGTGGGCGATAAAATCACCAAGGACAAGTCACCAAGTCGTCGGCTCAGACGCCAGGAGTGCATGCGGTTCCGCGTAGAATTTGTTCCTCGTCTCGGCGGGAATGCTCATCGGCGGAGCGAAGATATTGACAAGGATGGTAATATCTCCATCCCAGAGAGGAAAGCGGAGGCTCATCAGGCGATCGTTAATGCCCAACAGTAAACAGGGCAGACGTCCCACAATGTCGTTTCGTATGGCGAAGGTGACATTCGCGCCTCGCCGCTCTGCCCTGGGGCGACCACGCCAGAAGAAGGTGTAGCCGGCACCCACCTCCTCCAGTTGGCCTTGTTCGGAGAATCGGGTCTCTCTGAGTGCGACGATGTCCACCTTGTATTGCGCCTGTTCTCGAGCTACTAATGCCGTCTTCCGTTCCGATCGGGTGCCCCCCGGATTGTCTAGAAGGGAACGAACATTCCAGGCCGCCAGAGTGAGCGGACTCACGCTGCCAGTCAGCCGAGATGGGCGACGTGAATGAGGAGGAGGAAGAGGAGGAGGAGGAGGAGGAGGAGGAGGGGGAGGATGAGGAGGAGGAGTTGAAGGAGGAGGGAGCGATGGCGGGAAAGGAGGAGTAGAAGGAGGGGGAGGAAGTTCAAGTGTGCTGTTTCGGTTTTGGTCTTTTTGACAGTGAGTTTCGAGTCTGTGGAAATAATCAACCTACAGACGGCGTGGGTCTCCAGCATTTGTTAAGAAGAACTTTTCTAACCCTACTTCCTTTGGGTGGTTGAGCAATGCTTTTACCAAATAAGGCTGTGCATATGTCCCAGACGGCTGCCAAACTCCACTTTAATCCCCTCACTATTGTTCAGTAGAAAAAAGACCAATGTTGGCCTGGGCCTGACTACGGCAACGCCACAACATTTCGACCGTCTCATCCGACGACGTCCTCCGTACGCTTCACAGCAGGGTGAGGTCAGGGAGAGTGACTTGCGCGTGCTTTAGTTTAAAGTGATGGAAGACTTTCGCCGCAAGTACCACACTATACTCCTGCCCCACCGTGGACCAGGCGTCAAGGGAACCGGAGGTGGGGGAGGGCGCAGGCAGATGGTACGGTCGAGCACGCACCTTGGCGTTCCACTCCCAACCCCCTAGTCCAAACAGGGAACAAACGGGTATTTGAATAACAGCAACATCAACAAGAACTAAGAATTGAGGCTGGTTCGGCCGAAGCGGCATTTAGTCGTGCCGCAACACTCGGGTCCGATGCCACGCATTTGAAGTGCCGTAGAAGCCATGTTAGGAAGGAGAAATTGGAACCCGACTCAAAGGCCACCAGCCAGCCACCCCATGCACAAACACACAAATACGTTAGGTCGACTGCTAGATCCATGCTATCCCGTCAGTTGACAACCTTCCAAACCACGGATTTTAGTACAACGTGATAGCTTCAGATACTTTATAATGAGGAGGAAAATGCGCTGAGTCGTCGTGCCAAGCCACGTATTTTAGTGCCCCGTGATAGATTCAGATAGTCTATTGTGAGGAAAATGCGCCGATTAGTCGACCTTACTCACCCTTCGCATTCTCAGGCCACAGCCACTGTCCGAGCCGGTCAGTTGACTGGAGCGTGGAATGGGCTCGGTGGCTGAGAGGGTATAGTGACCGTGTATACGCGCGCCACATGCACGACCTGGCTCCTCAAACACGACCGCCTTGATTACACACAAATCGGGTTGAGCAGCGTACAGTTGACATGCGTGAGGGTGCCGTGAACACGCTGAGAAGGAGTTGTTTCAGTCTGAATCTCCTAGTGGACGGAGGTTTTGGAGGAACGCGATTACATTTGCATCTTCCGGCGGTTAAACAGTTTGCTCACAGTTCTGTATGGCGATGCGGATCCCGAGGTGCCTATCGACGAACAGAAGTTAATGGATGGTGACTGTGGATACACTTGACCGGGAGGGCAGCTGTCTGTGGTTGAGGAGGTGGCCAGCCGTCCCATTGGCGGGGCGGATCCCTGGGCGCTCATCGCGTTAAACGTCCAACAGCATGGAGGGGAACAAAAGACTGAAGGGGGTAGGCGCGAGGACGCAGCCGTGTTTTACGCCGTTTGTCACAGTGAATTCCTCCGAGACAGCTGCATAATCCGTGATGCGTGCCATCATGCCATCATGGAGCTGACGCACCGTCTGGCTGAATCGTCACGGACAGCCAAATCACCGCATGATTATCCATACATCGTCTCAATTCACCCTGTCGAATGCATTCGTCAGATCCACTAAAGAAGGGTGCAGGTGGGTCCGCATCTCCTGACACTTTTCCTGCAGCCGGTGGGTGACAAAGATCCTGTCCATGGTGCCACGATAACGGTGAAAGCCGAACTGACTTTTCGCCAGAAGACCTTAATCCAAGTGATTGTTAAGGCGGTTGAGAAGAATGTGAGCGAATATCTTACCGGCAGTGTTCAGCAAGAAGATGCCTCGATGGTTGTCGCAAAGCTGGCGGTTTCCTATCCGTTTGTATAGGTAGATGATGGTGGCGTCCTTGAAATCCTGCGGGACTTTTCCTTGAAGCCACATCTCCTGGAACAGTGCCGCCGGGCGCTCCATGATTTGTGGACCATCAAGCTTGTAGACCTTCGCACAGCTCGCGTCCGATGCGGGCGCTTTCCCGCTGGATAACCGCTGCACGGTCCTGATAGTCTCGTAGAGAGATGGTGGGAGGTCGAGGTTGGTGTTGGTCCTCACTTGGGACAGGCGGGCGATGGCGGTGTCGGAGATGTTAGAGGGGCGATTGAGGACGTCTCTGAATTGTTCGGCCCCTCGCTGCAGAATTTGTGTCTTCTCGGTGAGCGTGGTTATTCAGTCGGCGCCGAGGAGAGGTGCAATACCTTTGGCGGGCGGACAGTAGATGGCTTTGATGACGGAGAAGAAGTTCTTCCATTCGATGTGGTCCGCGTACCCTTGGATCTCCGTAGACTTGCGAGCCGCCTGTGCGTTCTGCAACTCGCGCAGACGCTGTTGCACAAGGCGACGGCAACGGTAGAATGCTGCTTTGTTGTCGTCGTCGGTGGGGTGGTCTATGCAGGCTTTTTGCAGGCGATCCTTCTCGGTGAGCAGGTTGTGGTGACGGGGTGCGCGACCGAGGACGGCCAGCGCCTTCGACTGGACTGTCCCAACAGTTCTCCATGGAGCCGTTCTCCTCAGCGGCGGCAGCGGCGGCTGCATTGGCGATTTGTAAGTTGTCTTGCCGTTGAGCTGGCTCATTGCTGAAATGGAGATGGTGAGATGGCTAAGACAACAAGGCAATATTCAGCTTACCTATGGGTTGTTTACCTTGACATCTCCTGCCATGTCCCATTGTCTGCGTCTCGCGCCTTCATGCCACCGTGGAGCCGACGCATCATCTGATCTAATCCTTCTCGTTCTCACACTGTCACTTACGCCACCGTCGTTTGTCCTTCCCAAGATCAAACCATAAGCCTGTATTTTATAGAACTTTGCGCAGTTTTCAAGCAGTGCGATTTTGCCCGGTGTTTGCCCAACTCTGATCGACAAAACGCTCTACAGCAGACTTAGTTTAACGTACAGCCGCTGAAATACAACAAGTCCCCACCGCCATCTAGATCACCTATGGCTACATTGGGCTTTGGCTAAGGGTTAGCGTAATTCAGGGCGGTAGTCGCTGCGAGACTGGAGAGAAGATCGAGTAGAGAGTGCGTCATCCTCTTTTTTTACGGCAATCGAAGCCCCACCCTGCTAACACACAACACCAGCACGCCTGCAATCCGCACACACGAAACCCCACCCAGCCAGCCCCCTCCCTCCCTCCGCATCGGATCAGTAGATTTTAGTGCAAATCGGTGCAACTGAAGTGGCGTGATCTGCTCGCGTCTGTCACTTGGTTTGTGAATAATGATGACAGGAGCCCTAATGCAATGAGTAAGACGTAACACAGGGCTGCATGTTTGCAACCACTTCGCGGGGAATTTACATGACATATAAATTTTGTGCCATAACTGAAAGTAAAACCACTGTATAGTCCTAAATTGCCTATCCGTTAGAACCGAGAGCCCCTTCAGTTAACATAATATATTTCCTGAAGTCTCACGCATCCACGTTGATTGACTTGTTAAACATCGGTGCCACGGTGGGACTGGAACCCAGGACAGCAAGGGTTTAACTATGTCAAGTAATCCATATCTCCTTATTTTGACTGGCAATGCGAGCCTATGGCAGCTTGGCCGACTACTGTCGATATTGCCGTATTAAACTCAAGTACACAGGCGAGTCATTTTGACACGCATAGGAAATACTCGGCGCCTCCGTGGGGCATGAACCCACAACAGCAAGGGGAAGCCTTCGTATAGCCAACGCTCTAGCCAACAGAGCTAAGAGGCTCCACCGGACGACGCTACATTAGTCATATCTGCCATAATACCTATGAATTTCCTCTATGAATACTTTTGAATACCTATATGAAATACTCGTAGCCATCTGGTGGATTCTAGATGTATTTCTTAGGAAATCCTGCCTGGGCAGTCAAATTACTGTGTCAGATTTGGTGGATTCCACACGTTGCAGTAAGGTGGGCGGGAAACTCGCGTCGTCCGGCGGGGCCTCGTAGCTCAGGTGGTTAGAGCGTTGTCTGTACTGACGCCTCCCCCTTACTGGGTGGGTTCGAATCCCACCGAGGCGCCGAGTTTTTCACAGTTGGGTAAATATCGATTATTCAAAGTCTGCCAAAATATCTAAGAATATACTTCCTAAAGACTCACACATCCACCTCGATCGAACTGCAAAAACTCGGTGCCACGGTGGGATATGAAGCCAAGATAGCAATGGTTTAACTATTTCAAGTAATCCATATCTCCCTATGTTGATTCGCAAGACGAGCCTTTTGCAGCTTGACCGACTATTGTCGATATCGCCGTATTAAACTCAAGTCCAGAGACCAGTTATCTTGATACCGATATGAAATACTCGACGTCTCGATGGGGTCTGAACACACGACAGCATGGGGAAGCCTCAGTTCAGCCAACGGTTTAGTCAACTGTGCTAAGAGGCTCCATCGGACGACGCTACAATTATCGTATCTGCCAAACTACCTATGAATTACGTGAGTTTCGTAGCCATCAGGTGGATTCTAGATGTTTTACTTAGGAAATCATGCCTAGACATTTAGCTTACTATATCAAATTAGGTGGGTTTCAAACGTTGTTGTAGATCAAACGGGTAAACTTGATTTAGATGTGATTAAACTCGCGTCGTGCGATGGGGCCTCGTATCTCAGGTGGCTAGACCGTTGGATGTACGTAAGCCTCTCTTTGCTGTTGTGGGTTCGAATCCCACCAGATAGGGTTATGAACAACGTCGGAGACTGAACCCACTTATTTTTCAGCAAGAAAGCATTCTTGGCATTGCCATTTTGATGTGAGGAGATTCATTCGATCGCTTGAGCGAAAATAATGTTCACTTGAATTTCCCGATACCTTTTTGATCAAGGACAGCAGCATCTTGAATTTATGGACGTACAGCGGTTGAAATATTTATAAGCTACAATTCCTATGCTATCATACGCATGTTTATAATGATAACACCCGCATTCACTGCAGCTTTCCGTGATTCATTTGACG